CCGCTGCCGCGATGAGCTTTTAAAAACTCTGCCGCTGCCGCGATGAGTTTTTAAGAAACCTGCCGCCATGGACATCTCTGGTTGCTAGTTCGAATATCTTCGACGTCACAATTATTAATAAACTTGTCGGAATTTAGTATTAAGTCAATTTTCTTCTTCAAAACGTTGGAAAATAAAATCTTTTTATTTTTCTTCTATGAAGTCTTATGGATTGAACATTTCACATGGAATATAGTGAGAAACAGTAAAATAAACTTTACTGTAGAAAACGTGATTCCATCTGTTAATTTTAATTAGTTGGTAACTTTCCTGCACAACCTTTTTCTATTAGTCTACTTTTTCATCATTATATCCCAATATGTATATTTTGCTGTTTTCATATGTAGTTCTTTTATGCGATATTATTAACAGATCTGTAATGATATACAGAACAAGCAAGTAAAAATCTGTTGTTATTTTAGATACGTTACATTAGACAAATCTTTTTACAATCTCCCAAACTTTGAGGAGTTGGAATAGCCTCGATTACTGGTTCATCAAGATATTTTAAATGAGTCTACAAAAATAAAATTAAGTGTTGTTCAATAAGAATAAAATATTTTTGATGAGTTCATATATACATTATAAATATATTCTACAAATGTTATTCTTGATTTTTTTTTTCGTTTCATTTTATTTACAAATTCATTAAACATAATATTCAAAAAAAAGAGAAAATTTTCTATGAATTACCAAAACAACAAAAAAAATATTGATAGCCCATCGAATTCTCTGCAACTCTACATATTAATATCTGAGATTACATTTTTTCATTGAAAAAAATTGTAACCACACAAAAGATAAATTTATCGTCAGATTTCTTCGAATTGTATCTTTGATTCTTTTTCTATTTGTCTTTTTTAAAATTATTTCAACTATATAAATGAGTTTCAGGAAGGAAGTTATATGTTCTGATAGTGCATGAAATTCTGCATCTTTTGATGTATTATTGAAAAGGCAAAACAACGGACAAAAAGTATTTTGTAAGGACTACAGTTACTGCTAAGGAAGAAACGACGGATTCCAGATTCCGAGAAATCTCACAGATATCTCGAAAATCTTATAAATTTCTGAAATTTTCATATTAACAAATTGTATTCTCGAAATTCATATTTAGGCTCTATAATCCTCAGTCTAGTCCTGAAAAATCTTATAGAACTCAGTCTTAGCGCTCCACGGTTTTGTCACATGACTAGATAAGCTGCATTAAACTATTGACGAATATTATTTCCTAGACGAATTGTTTTTTTTTCCTATGCTTGATCTGTGCAGACATCAAGATTTATCCGTAGCGCGTTACTTTCTTATTCAAGAATCTCACGAAAGTCACGTGCATGAGAGACAGAATTCATTAATATGATGATTACAAGCACTAGATACAATTTCAAAATTCGAACGTATTGCTAGAAAAAAAAAATATTCGATCTGGAAAGCGATTAGTACTCGAAATTACCTGTTCTACGTAGATTTCTTTTTCTTATGCACATGAACTGCGTAGCTCTCAAGATTTCTTCATAGTACATGACATTCTTGCTCTAAATACTCATGTATTTCATGTGCATATCCCAAGATAGTACACTAGGGTTATTAATTTTGATAATTTTAGACACTTAATCTAATTAGACGTGTATCGAATACATTTTGACATCAAGGCAGTTTATTTTCTTGTTTGTATGGGAAAATATCCAAGACAGAATAACAAAGAACAGCAAAGAATAGGATAAGTTAATGAGTAATGCAAGAAACACATAGGACCAAATGAATCTATAGCAACATATTTGTAACCTTTTATTCATTCAGTAATCTTACATTTGAATACACTTAACCCAATAAAGTAGTAACACAGCCTTCCTGTCTACTTGAAGACAAGAGGCTTTCTATCTATGACTAAGGGTGTCATACTTACTGTTGCTACTACTACTTCTACTTATCATGATAATAGTAGATGTTTTTATGGTTGTAAAACTACGCGTTTAGCAACGATACACGTTTAATTTATATATTAGTTAATAATTCTTGCAAGCTAATTCTCATCATCCATCACCTACTGATAACAACAGTTTGAATATGACATTGCTATGTATGATTACATTGTACTTTTTTTTTGACATTAATTTTGATACGAAAGAAACGAGTTTGAGAGTGAAAGTGAAGTTGGCTCCGATACTCTTATTGCATATAACAGAGATGTCCATCGCGGCTGAAAATCTGCCGCTGCCGCGCCGCGGCCTTAGAAAAAAAAGCTGCCGCACCGCAGCCGCGCCGCGACGGTTTATAAAAAAATGTTGCCGCGCCGCGATGAATTATAAAATAAACGTGCTGCCGCCGCGGCGGTTTACAAAAAAGTGTTTCTAATTTCACTGCTGCGACTATATTTGACCAGAGATATTGGTACTAGTCCATCAGATTCATTCAGTCTCGGGGTGTTTCATTTGTAAACCCTGAAATTCTATTAAATTCATGCAGTTTTTCAATGTTCCCCAAAAAAATCCTGCCGCTGCCGCGCCGCTGCCGCGATGGTCTTTTAAAAAACCTGCCGCTACCGCGCCGCTGCCGCGATGATTTTTAAAAAATCTACCGCTACCGCGCCGCTGCCGCTGCCGCTGCCGCCACAGGTCATCACGGCAGCGGCGCGGCAGCGCCGCGATGGACATCTCTGGCATATAATCGAGATTTATTATGACAAAACTGGACAGGGAACAAGAGAAAGAGGTCCGAAAATTCGATTTTTATCTGGACATCTTCTATAGATGACTCTATAAAAAGAATGAAAGAAAAAAAGAAAAATATATAGACCATACTATCATAAAAATTATCATATTACGTTAAAGAATCATACTTAACCTTTATCAGAAATAACTTAGAAATAATTATTTTTACTTAACAATTTTAATTTATTTATTTAAATTAACATTCAATATTTTCACTTATATTAGCGATTTATTTATTTACTAAACGGATATCAATTTTACTTAGCTAATAAATTGTACCTGTTGATCATTTATATAAATAGTTTTAAAAAAAAATCAATATTGAAATTAGAATTAAGTGTTATAAATTAATAACTTTATTAATACAGTAAATTAAAATATATGTTAGAAAAAGAAAATGAATATCTTTGATTTATATGAATATTAAACAATGAATAGATGATGATAATCGATACATTCATCAAATGTTTGAGAAAAATCTTAAATTTCAATTACGTTTGTATGTGTTTTATAGAAAATATATTATAAATTATTTCTTGATTTATCATCTATTCTATCTGTTAGATTTATAAATATCATAGTTACTTTATGTCATCTCATTATTTATTCTATTTTCTTATTATTGTTAATTTTTTTTCTTTAAACTATCATAATATTTATGCAAAAAATCTATATGGTGAATAGGCGAGTAACTTATAAAGTATTTTATTGACTTGTCTTTGCTATGCTTCCAAAAATTTAGACTCATCTCATTACAAGACGAGATAAAATGAGAAAATTCGGCAGGTTAAAAATCTCTTGTACACTCAAACATGCACATTAAAATTAAATACAATTAAGTTTACAAAATGAATCCTTAATTTGTTATATATTCAATTATTTTTTATTGTACATTTTGTTTTTCATTTCTCTTTTGTATACTTATTATCATTCGTATATACGATAAATACAAAAGTTATCTAGAGTACAAAATGCTTCACAGAACATTGTCTAAAATTTTTTCATTATGAATTTAAAGAATTAGCTAAATGTTGTAATATCAAATATGATCATAAACTTTAAACTTAATATCATAAAAATAACAAAAAAAAATGAAGTTTATTTAATTACCAATAGATATTCGAATGAAAAAAAAATTCTACTGTTGTTCTTCTCATACATTTTTAACCTTTTTTCAAAAGTTAACGTAAATATATCACATAATGCGGTACGTTTTTGACAATGTCTCTATATATAGTAGGTTAAAAAATAAAAGACATATAATAATTAAAACAAAAAAAAAAATAACAACAAAGGAAGAATGGAGGAAAGAAAGAATTCAGTTGATTCCTGTAGTATTTTTATAATTTTTTGTTTAAAATATGATTTTAGGGTAAAACTGGATATGTTGATAAAGCAAAAGATATATTTGAAAAAAATCTTCAACCAGATCAAGCAATGTATAATTCAATGAGTCAGTTTTATTTATTTTTTTTTTAAATAAATTTTTTTGTAATCTATTAAATTTTAGTTCATTGTTATGGTTTAAATGGAAAAGCTACTGAAGCAATTCAACTTTATCATCATATGCCGAAAGATATTATTGATGAAATAACTTATGTTTGTACTTTAAACGCCTGCTCACATTCAGGATTAATTGATGAAGCTCGTTCCATCTTCCAAAGTATTGAAAATAAAACAGAAAGTATTTATGGTGCAATGGTATATACTAAAAAATTTTCTTTTTGTTTTTTCAAATTTTCATTTTTTCTATTTCTTTAGATTGATTGCTTTAGTCGTGGATCATTTTTTGAAGAAGCACAAAAATTAATTGATCAATATGAATATTCTCATCCACCTGCCGTATCAATGTATAGTTAGTATTGGTGAAATATTTTTGATATTTATGAAGAATTTATTGATTATATGATCGATAATATACAGCGTAGCGCAAAATTTACACAGCCAAGAAATAATTGAATATTTCTGTGTTACAGATCGAGCCAATAGACTTTTGTGTTTTTTGTTTTAACTACTCATAAATGATATATACACATTTCATATAGATGAAGATAGGAATTGTGAAAAATCATTTCTATATATCACTATGAACTTTCATAAGAAAAAAATTTTAATCATTTTCAATTACTAGAAATTAGTCGTTTA